ACCTTTTCCAACAACGTCCGGTTCAATCGTTCTGCCCGTCCGTTCTGCTGCGGGGTATACGGGGCAGTGGTCTGGTTCTGAATGCCCTTCCACCCATAATAATCACACAATTCGGCATTTAGAAACTCACGCCCACGATCCATCCTCACCGCCTCCACTTTTCGTCCACAATTGCTCTCGAGCAGCTGGAGCTGCGTCTGGACAGTCTTAGACGCTTCACCCTTATTTTTCAGAAGAGCGATTTGGGAAAGTCCAGAGTAGTCGTCCAGGAAGGTCGCTATGTAATAGTTCCCGCCCATTGACTCCACCGACATCGGACCGCACAGGTCCATGTGGACTAAATCTAAGCACTCCTTCGCACATGATTCAGACTCTGGGAACGGCTTACATGGGTGCCGGCCGAAGCACTACCGGCTTCTCGCAATTTTTCAGCTGACACGTTTAACCCCCGCACCATTTCCTCATTCTTCAAGCGCACCATATTGCCGTAGCTCAGGTGGCCAAAACGTGCATGCCACAGCTTCACGTGAAGATCAGCCGGAGTTGTAGGTAGGGCTACTGGTACGTGTGGACTCCACTCGCGCGCACTCAATTTGTAAATTGAATCTTTGCAATCTGTGCTAAAGAACCATCCCTCCTGGTCATTTTGCACCGTCATGTAGGTAGTGCGCCCAGTAAACGTAGCTCCACGCACTGTAAGCTGCCGAAGAGATAGTAACCGGTATCCAAAGCCTGGAACGAAGGATACACCCTTGAACTTAATCGTTCGTTTCTCGTAGTACATCCTTTTCGTGTCCCAAACCTTGCCCAGTTCTAGAATCACATCTCCGTAGCCCACGGCGTACATTACGTGTTCACCCAGGTCTACAGATACACGACGGATCAGGTTTACCACTCGGTGAAGAACAAACTGATCCCCCTTAATTAGCCCATTGGATTTCCGTCCTCCTAAAAACGAAACCCATATTTTGCCAAAGAGGCCACCGGCATTTAATGCTAGCCATAACGACGGGAGATGTAGGACTTTCTGTTGCCTTGCTTGCTGGCAGCCCGTACTGGCCGCTTGGAGGACCCACCCATGCACGTCATGTTGTACCCACTCTCACTCTGTCCCTCCTCAGTCATGCCATCCTGGCTCCCTTCCTCCACGACTGCACTATCCTCTTTCCCTCCCCCCTCTTTCCCTCCCTCCTCACCCCCTCCCTCCTCCTCTTTCCCACCCTCCTCGCCCCCCACCTCCTCCTCTTTCCCACCCTCCTCGGCCCCTCCCTCCTCCTCGCCCCCTCCCCCCTCCTCTTTCCCTCCCTCCTCGCCCCCTCCCTCCTCCTTGCCGCCTGACCACCCCCTCTATCGGGGGCATTGGCACCTGCTGCTGCTGCCAACAGGTTAAACCCGCCCTCCACAGCAGCTGTCAATGGGCTATCATGAAAATTGGTACCCAATACTGCTGCTGCCGGGTTGAACCCTTCCCCCGCTCTCACCACCACTGCTGTTGCTGCTGCCGTCTGATCACTCCTGTATCATGAGCTACTGCCAGCGTCACCAGCTCGTCACGCGCACCAGGCTGTTGCAGTGCACGCACAGCGACCTCCAAGTCATCTAAGACCTGGGTAAGCCGCCGGTGCAGTTCTGGACGTGACTTCAGCAACTGGTGCACGTTCCTGCAGGACTTAATCGTTCTGCCCTGAACGGGGTTGAGTAGCCACGAGACATAGCCGATGCCAAGGTTGCTCGCATCAGTAAGGACGTCAACGGCATGCTGTTCCAACGGCATTGCCACCAGTCACTTGTTCCAGGCACTTCGAGCAGGCCAGGTGCCGCAGGTCACGAGCCCGCGCGGTCTGCTCTTTGGTGATCTGATGCTTCTCGCTTGTGAAAAGAAGCATATACCACGCTGCACTAAGTGGCCTGATGAAAATAGCCTCCTGAAAGACAATCCTCGCCGCGTATGTCCTAAAAGGCCCTCTAATTCTTGCTGTTTTTCCTGAGAGACCGGCGCCACGCTGCTATGAAAGTTTTCGCAAAGACGTAAACATGCTAGGCCTATGGATGATGTAAGGCGCGTCTTTTGGCCAGAATTGGGTCGCAATGAGCAGGTCAAAGCACAGCAGCGCTTATCTACTTTAGGGTGCATTTCCAGTGCGGAATTAAGGCCAGGGATTAGGGCACGGAATTCTTTGGTACGAGCATACCACATAGTTTCGTTCCATAAGGAAACCAAAGGTTGGAAAAGCGAGGTAAGTTTGCCAACAACTTAGCCGTTTGAGCAAGTATCGATGGAGGACAGAGGGTTAATCCCTGGCCTTAATCCGCACTGGAAATGCACCCTTAGGCATTCTTCTTACTGTACAAAAATCTTACAAATGAGGTATGTAGCTACATGTAGCTAATATAATTATTTTGAACGATCGGCCGTAATCAAAGTGGACATCCACTCAGTTAGTGGAACCAGTCCACTCCAAGAGTGGGCACAGTAGGGCCCCCTAAGGTGGATGTTCCCGCTTTCCATTATACATGCCACATTTCCATACCCTTGTTTTGATCCTTGCAAGGCCTTGCAAGGACCTAGGCCAAAGTAACGCCACATATGCAGCAGTTTTTTCATTCTTACGGGGAATTAGCAAGGTCCCCGTTTACGGAGGAAAGCCGGCGCTAAGAAAATCTGTTGCCGGGGATGCCGGCATAGCTCTTCCATATCCTGGCGAAAGTGCATTTTACGGATAGGAAACCACACAATATGGATCCTGAATCATTTATGGACGATGGCCTTTCCCAGAGAATTCTCATGCTTAATAAACCTCCCAGATACACCGTGCATAATATTACCATGTACTCCCAGACATTCCCAGACACTCCAACGTACTTCAGCTTGCTGTAGTCTCCCACTACAAATACGTTTCTGTCCCTGTTGTGAGTGAAATAGGATAGATCTTTCTAGAGTTCAACAAACATAGTTTAATTCAAAAGCATTTTGGATGGCCTGGTTTGGTGGCAGTGGAATGGGCCTTTACCATTCCAAAAATCTATCTTGCTTCACAGTAATTCAGCTGTTCATTTCGCTTCTGGCACTCTTTGGAGTGTACTGTTCTCAAGCCATTGGTAAGTCCTTGTGCAGTGGAAGCGAACGAAAAACACTATTATGGTCTTGAGTAAGGCAGCCTTTCCAGCAGATTCACAATCTTTTGCTTGGAGCCCTTGCATGGGTTCATGAATTATGTGGGCTATGGCCGCTTATAGCGATTGCCATCTGGGTGGTGTAAGGCAGGCACACATATTATTAGTTTCTTCCGGAAGCACCGCAAACCCTATCCTTCTTGGCCGGAACGTAACCATTTTATACAAATCGCACTTGTTGTGTACCGGGCATATTCCTGCTAATTTGTAGACATGTGCTGTGAATGCATGAACTGACCCATTCTGGACGGACTTGAACTAATGCAGGTGGCACACCACCTCCAACTGCAGGCGAGTACTTAGTGCAAAATCGTCTTGTCCATGTAAGAGGTCTGGCATTGAGGTTACATGGTGGACAGATGGCCTTCTGTCCAGGCCTGCTGTCCTAGGACAGATGCTGTCGCAAGACTTGGTTGGATGGGCGGGAGTGTCCATACAATTGAGGAATGACGTCTAGTCGAACACGGAGGGGGGTTAAGAACGTTTGTAATTCACTCAAATTTGGATAACCATTAGAATGTTCTTTGGCCGTTCTAAGAACGTTCGTATGACCTCCGTTTATCTTAAACCATTCTTTTACTTTCTTTAGCATTCTTTATGGCCCAGAAGTCTTATGGATTCTCTATGATTCATTGGGGTGTTCTTATACGCTCGTGTGGGCAGGCAACTAGCCAATTTCTCCAAGTCCTTACTCCCCACACTCTTGGTTTGCTTGCGTGGCCTGCCATCCAACGCCCGAGGCACTAGAAGGCCTTTTATTTTTATTGTTTCCATAATTCCAGTGCCTAGGGCCCCCTAGGGCGGTGAACCCTCTTAGGATCCTAGGAGGAGAGGCCTCTGAACCCCTGTAGTAACGAGGGGGTGTAGTAGCTGGTACACAGTACGGCTCTACAAATAGGCGCGTAGCGCGACCACCAGCATCTCGAGAGGCCTTTTCAGCGGCCAGCTACTACAGGGGGTCAGTAAGCCCACCCCACGGTAGGGAGTGAACCATGTAAAGGGAGGTGGCAACACGGGCATGTCTGAAGCAGGACAGCGGGTGTGCAACCTTACCCTGGGAAAGGGTAGTACTTGGAGACATGGGAGAGAAGATAGTCCAGGCTTGCATAAATGCGCCCGAAGAAGCTTAAAAGAAAATATGGGGGCCCTGGTGAAGCAGCTGACCGCGTACAAAAAGTATATAGATGTGGAAGGTGCCGAAGTACGTCGGTGAAACATAATGTCACATTATGTTTGCCACGGTGGCAGGACTGGAGAGCATAGTGCAGCGGTAGATTGTGAGTGTAGTTGAACGGGCTGCTGCGGAGGCTGTGGCTGCTGCGTGCCGTGATGAAGTGGCTGAGGAGCACCGGATGCGATGGACTTGGCAGGTCCTGCCGCCTCGCCGGCGTTCGGCGCTCGGGCGAATTTACATTGTGGGCGCGTCGCGTTGCTTAGCTTGCAACGTGACGCATCAGTTGTAACGACGCAAATGCCAATCTGAGCATCCCGGGTTACGCCTTTGCTGTGTTACATCAGTCCTCAGTTCACTTCTTGTAACGAAGGTCCAAGCTAGGTCCAAGCCCTCTCGCTTGGAGAGATATGCAAACAAACGTCATGATAGGTAAACTCGCATGCTACCGAGCATTCAACCGAGCACGCTACGAGCAGTCCTTGTAAGCAGCAGCATACCACCCAAAACGCTGGTGTCGGTATCGGCTGTTCCAAAAAGGTGTTCCAAGCCATCAGCGGCGTCCATGTCACCCACACGGCTCTGAACGACTTTCCTGTTCTTATGTTTAATTTGTGTATGTTATATTTAATTTGCGTCAGTTAGTAATGTGACTTTAGTCGGAACAGGGTGCTGTTTGCGTTGCGCTGCCAAAAGCAGGCGCCTCTTCTTTTCGGAAAGTGCCGCTTCGCCAGACGCTTCCTCTTCCCGCGGCTGTTCCATGACCCCGGTCTTGCAAGCAAAGTTGTATGCTTTCAGTTACGTCAAAACAGCCACCCATTCGTCGGGGCCTGCTTGCCGCGTGCGGCTGTGGCCACCATGCCCTCCGGCGCAGCACGCTGGCACAGCGCAGCCTTTCGCCAAACAAATTACATACACTTGTACGCGCGCATTTCGGGATTCGCACGCGCGCATCCGCGCGGTAAAATTCGCGCCTGGCTTTGGGCGTCTTGTACGGAGGGTTTATTCGGCACAGTACGACCGGACACAATTGTGCGAGGGGCTGCTTAAAGAAGCTTCCCTACAAACGCGGAGGGGGGTTAAGAACGTTCTTAAGTCGTTCCTAGCCCAGCCAAATTGATAAAATTGATTAACCATTAGAACGTTCTTACACCGTTCTAAGAACGTTCTAAGAACGTTTGTATGACCTCCATTTATCTTAAAACCATTCTTTGAAATTCTTTAGCATTCTTTAAGACCCAGCAGTCTTATGTACTCTCTTCCATTCTTTGGGGTGTTCTTATACATTCTTAGGCCAACTTATTGATTCTTTGTCTAAAGCATACTTAGCTGCTCTTTGACCAGTTTTAACCATTCTTACCATAGGTTTGCTAAGTATGGCACTCATTCTTAAGTCATATCCTCAAGAAATTCTTTTTGCTGCTTAGATTCTTAAGCCTTAAAAATGTGGGATTCTTAAGGGGTGGTCGTGATGAAAAGGCCACTCAGACACATTTGCCGACCTCTGCTTTCTCACCTGTATTTCTATTGGTAGGCGCCCATTTCTGAGGTATCCGCAGATATCGTAGGAAAACCATGCATTGAAATTCATATTAGTAGATGTTCTACGTTGGGGACGAACCTAAGACTACAAAACTCATGAGCATCATGTACCCTATGCTGCAAGAAAGGACGTCACAGATGGTTAAAAACAATCACAAGACATATCTTGTCAATCTATGCTAATAACGTGTCCGGTACACTATGAGCTGCGCCAAGTGCCGTACACATAACATATGTGCGTGTACGACAAGCAACTCAACACCTGTTCAGCAACTCAGCTACCAGCCCTGGCCCCTGTACAAAAAACTGGCATGCAGCCTGACATGGCCACATACCTGCTGCAGCCCACTGCCCAACACCATCCCTGGCTGCTGCAGCCGCATGAAAAACAAGGGGCGCCCCGAGGCCACTGCCATGTTTAGCTGAATCCAAATGAAAGCATCCTTGCTTGCCATGGAGAGCCTGGCAGACTCATGTGTTTTCTACAAGCCCCCACCAGAAGAGTTTGGGGCTACTGAAACTGTAGCAGACGCTCACCTGGGGGGACGACTGGCTTTGCGTAAGCATGGAATTTAGAGTCCTCGCTTAGGCAGGAAGAAGTCCAACCCAGCAACAAGCACTAGCATACATAGACCGGTACGAAACAATCGGAGACGGCGGCAGCAGAGTCTTGAACTCTAAACAGCAAGTAGTCGTGATACTCAAGTGCCTGGCCATAGCACCCCGCCCGGGTAGCTTATATCTCGGCCTACCTGCCGGTGATTCCCTACTACGGTCCTGCCGTGCTAGGATACTGTCGGTGTATCCTCCGGTGGCAGGGTGGTACAGGAGGGTACCCTCCGGTGGCAGGGTGGTACAGGAGGGTACCCTCCGGTGGCAGGGTGGTACAGGAGGGTATCCTCCGGTGGCAGGGTGGTACAGGAGGGTATCCTCCGGTGGCAGGGTGGTACAGGAGGGTATCCTCCGGTGGCAGGGTGGTACAGGAGGGTACCCTCCGGTGGCAAGGTGGTACAGGAGGGTATCCTCCGGTGGCAGGGTGGTACAGGAGGGTACCCTCCGGTGCCACCCCTTTGACACCGAAGGTTCTTCCCAAAGGGGAGGAAGCTCTTCCCTTACGGTCTCCCTCCCGTGTCCCTTGGGTGTCCCTTCCACGTGTCCCTTTGGTGTTGTTGTAGACTTCAGACGACACAACCACATAATGGGGGCATCGAAAGATACCGATTGAGACAAGTGTCTTGAATAAATAGTCATCAGTGACTCCACTTGGGCCTCGTGCCGGTAAGAATCCCCAGTACGACTGGGCGGCGCCATATCCAGAAGCCATAGTTTGCAGGAACTACTCTCGCTCGGTCAGACGAAACAGGGACGCAGGTCCCAGCTTTACGTAGGTAAAACCCCCGCCCATACGCAGGTATGGACTTCCGCAGCGGTGCGGCAATAAGGTGGCGGACGACTAACAGTAGTCGCTTTAGCCGCCTGCAGCTAACAGTAGCCGCAACGCGCCCATATGCAGATATGGACTTCCGCAGTAGTGTGGCACTCGAATGGCGGACGACTAACAGTAGTCGCTTTAGCCGCCGTCGCCCATAGACTTCCGCAGCAGTGCGGCACGTGAATGGCGGACGACTAACAGTAGTCGCTTTAGCCGCCTGCGCCTATGGACTTCCGCAACGGTGCGGCGTTTGAATGGTGGACGACTAACAGTAGTCGCTTTAGCCGCCGGCGCCCATGGACTTCCGCAGCAGTGTGGCATTAAGGTGGCAGACGACTAACAGTAGTCGCTTTAGCTGCCACAGCTAACAGTAGCCGCAATTAAACTAATAGCAGTATTAGTTAAAACCTGTAATCACCGACCACGGAATTGATGGGTGTTAGTTAGTAATATTGAAGTTCGGTAAATCGGAGTGGACGAGATAACCACCGACAGTTAGGATTCGGCGCCCAAACTGTTGCAGAACACCTTTACAGGATACAACAACTATTTCCCCCCTTAATGCGACGTGCCCGTCGCATACGGATCGCTATGCAAAACAAGATTAGTAATACCAGCTAACGCGCTGCCACCTGGGACTGCACCCTAAGATGAGCCGCATCGAGCAACGGTTTAAGGTCTGGGGTGAAGTTACGCGCCGGTTCCCAGCTGTTGTGTTCCAATCCGCGCCAAGTATAAGTTCCTAAGCCAATCCGCGCCAAGTATAAGTTCGACTCCGGCGTTAGCTTGCTTTAACACGAGCAGTTTGACTGTGTCATGAAAAGATGCTATCCGCAACTTGGCGTGTATCAAGCCCTCAATGAGCTCGGAGGTTCCGAACAAGAAGTTGAACACGGCCGAATAGCGAGCCCCATGTTGCGAGCTGCCTCGGAGGAAATGAATCCATCAGCCGTGCCCTTGCAGTCGGCACCGGAATCGATAAGTGCGCTGCAAGGCGTTTGGCATAAGAATGCGCCAAAAATCATGGACTGTGAGGAGCCAATACTGTTCAGCTGAACCTCTTTAGCTGGCGGGTCATACCAAAGCTGGATAGGCCACGGAATACCGGGCATTTCCTGACGACTATTACCGTAATGCTATGGCCGATTGGTGACACCGGTAGCACCAGTAGCAAAGGATAATCCGGGCTGGGATTGAGCGGCGGCCATCACCAATCCCTGTACGTTTGGATCCAGGTCGGGTGCCGGACTACCTAACTCGCAGAAAAGCACACATAAAGCAATATTTCCTGCCAAACTTTACATTATATAGTCATTACATTAATAATGCCTACGACCTCTACACCGTCTTCATTAATGTCGCTAATGGCTTCAGTGAAATTTAGTATCTGCTTTAATGGCCTTCAATGCTTTGGGAGCTTCGGGTCCGAATGTTTTGCAGCGTTTGGTCCGGTCAGGAACAGTCCGATTCCTCGTTGACTTCCGGGCGAGAGCTTCCTAACAGTATCCATGGCATTAAAGTACTATGATATGGGTAACATGTATGTCTCCTGTAAGATTCTAGCGGCTTTGGCATGGACAGTCCATTTTTGGCTGGAGGAATGAACTTGTACGGTTGGAACATTATTTATTCTTAACTTTCAGGACCACGAACATTTTTTCATTCCGAATTCGGAATATATTCCGCAAAAAAATAACGCTGGGGGCAGTCCGGTTGGCGGCTTTCACCAATTCGGTGGCAATGGGAAAAAGTGGACGGGGTAACACCAAACCGTATCACCAATTCCGGTGTTGGAAAGATTAATTCTAGAAGCGTTTTTTACTTTCACCAATCCAGAAATCACCAATCGGCCATAGCATTACGGTATCGTCTGCTTTCTTTAAGAACAGTTACGTCCCTACGGTAGCAGCTGGTGTCCTGCCGCTCGCATACGTCTTCGTCTTTCAACTTGAGACCATTTCGGTACTACAAAAACCGCTGAAGTGGTTTCGGGACGCATACGCTTGCAGCGCAGGTAATGCTTATGCCAAAGCTCAATTTTGGTGTATGGGGGTTTGAATCCGGGCTGAGCAGCTAGCCAGACCAAGAACCGGGACGAGAAACCCAAAACGCGTTCGTTACAGTACAACTAATATGGACAAGGCACCGGGGACGCGGACATATGGTTGGGGATAAGAGATGCCCAGCCTGCCTGCCAGAGCCCGCATGCTACTTCGTGCGGCCCTTCCGGGCTACCGTGCTCTTCCGCATTGGTAACCTGCAGGCAGCCGACGGCCTCGCTTGGGTTACTTTGGCCCCACGCCTAACCCAGCGAAACATCCCCCGTGCCTCTAAACTAAAAGGCTGGCCTCTCACAAAACCAGGAACCCAAAGTTCGGAAGGGAGGGCGGGTGGGAAAGAAAAGGACGTCAAATTCACACCGCTGACCAAAGGACAATAACAGCGGCAGCTAGCAGCTGTTCTGGTAAAGAGGGCTCGTATCAACTAGTAGCCGAGTCCGAGATCGTCCGGAAGATAAATCGACAAGACTAAACACCACCGATCAAATAGCAATTCAAACTACAACCAACTAACTGCACCGTACGACGCCGCTCTGACGCCCCTCTTCAAACCACATTTTCGGCTACGCCTAAAATAAGATATTTGCCCAGACAAACTCGCCAGAGACATCGGAGGTCAAAAACGAACTTGATAGGGAGGCAAAGCGTGTACAAAGACTATTGTCGCCAGAGTTGTTACAAGCAGTGTCAAAGGTGAACTGCCGTCCCAACATGTTCTCCACGTTACGAAACTCGCCCGGGAGGAACATGTGATCACAGCTAAGCGGATCAAATACGGGCAACAAGGACTCTCTGATTTGCAAGCTAGCCGAGTCCTTAGGACATTCCGGTTGCTCACAGCCCCCAACACTCGCTTGCCGACCCGCTAATCAGCCATGGTATTCTCCATCTTCGCGGCAAGGGACAGCGTCTTCTCGGTGTTAGCCTTGAGGTGTCGTATGCAGTCTGGCTTGTGCTCCGCCCAGCTCTGATGGGCGGGCTTTTATGCGACGGCATTTGCGGCAAGTGTTTGCCGCACACTGGCGGCACACACTTGCCGCCAGCTGTTCTTGCTCCAGACGCGCCTTCTTGGGCCGATTGGCGGGTTGCCAACCCTGCGAATTGCGATCAGAGGATGAACACTTAAATTTATTGAAGGGCTTTTTAGCAGTGATTGCATTAAGGTCAGCGCTTACTGCGTGTACGGTAGGCTTGTCTTTGCCCGACTGCCACCGGATCTCTTGTCCAACAGTGTAAAGGATTAGCTTTCATGGCGTGTTCGCAAACTATCATGAGCAGCCATAGCCGTGTTGTGTTGCGTATCGCCGTATTGCAACAAAAAGGCAGCACATAAAGAATCACATGTCAAAAGCTTCTTGCCCAATCTGTGCTCCCCGAAAATGTCCGTGGCCCAGACTTGAGCTTTGCCCGATACGAAGTAGACAAAGTGCTCTAACGGGTCCATTTGCACTAAGTCAAAGTAT